GGTTGATGGGTCGTCCATCCATTTCTGGAACCCCTTGTCCAGGAACGGTGGGATGGGGCATGTAGGGTCATACGCTCGAACTTTGATACCACGTTGGCCGGTGGGCGTGTATATGGCCCGCAACTTCCACGGATATTTTCTCTTCCGAAGACCCTGGCCAAGTGGGCCTTCAATAAACTCAGGTTCAACCTATAACAAGTATAAAAGAAGTTCAATACAATACTTAATGATGTTGGAGTTGGAGTTGGACGTTGGCGTTACCTTAACAACGGTCAGGTGTGGAGTTCCTCCATGTGATAAGGGTAGGGGTCGACTTTCTGTCCTATCAGTTTGCTTTCTTGGTGGCCCTGCGGGTTGCGGTGTCGGTACGTTAACCATCTGCCCCTTACTTGCCTCCCCGTCACTGGCGCACGTACCTAGAGTAAGATCCTAAAAATGGACGAACATTTGCTTTAAGTAAATAAAGTTAGGTTAAAGTAAAAAAGTTAGTATCGTTACAGAAATACCTCAATTACGTCGACCAGACTAGGGTGGCCACTTGGGACCTCCTGGGTAGCTCCTACAATGGTAGGAGCGTGATCCATCTCCACGTCACGCTCGTGAACGTCGGCGGGTTCTTCACAAGTCTTCGGATCCTCGTCCATCCTCGGCTCGTCCCCTGTCTTCGGATCCTCATCCATGTTTATATCCTCCTCGTTACACCCACTCGGATCACGTCCACCCGAAGACCCATCCTGATCCGGCACACCGCCCCTTCTATCATATTTATTTTGGCCCTTCGACATAACCTACGTAATAAAAATTATAAATATACGGATGTGAACAAGAAATTCAGATAATACAATACAATAAGCCTTACCTTTGTTAGCCTCTTCATAAACTTCTTTATGTCCTTTATGTCAGTCGTCATGCCCGTCAGAGTTGTCTCAATGGCCGTCACTCTGTCGCCGAGCCTCCGCAGCTCCCGACTCCACTTATGCTTCGACTTCTTCTTCTTCTTCTCCGTCCCTTTCTGTGGCAACAATTGATCTTGTCCTCCATCGGTCCCAATAATATCTTCTGTTACATGATCAACCACTGGGGAAGCATCCTTTGCTACATCATCGAGCTCAACTGGATCCCCAACCTCACCAGTAACGGGAGACTTCTGAGCGGTGGAAGTAGTAGCCAGTGGTTCTGTAGCAAGTTCTGTGGGTGCAGGAGGTCCGACAGGGGCCACTGGTGGATGCATAACACGAGCCATGTGCTGTCGTTCGACATCAGTCGCCTCCAAATGAACTACAACCTTCGACTGTATAACACAAATAGTTAGGTCGATTTTAATATTAAATACTAAAAACAATAAGAACATGTTGTACTCACCTTGACGTTCTCGAAGACCTCTCGCTCCAAAACATTAAAAGCACGTGAATAGGTGCAGGACCATCTAAGTAGACGAGGAATAGCATCGTCATTCAGCCTCAATGCTACTCGAGTCGACAAGGTTGATATTGTCTCGTATTCCCAAACCTGCAGTCACGTCAAGTTAGACTCTACGGTATTTCACAGGTACATAAATATATAATAAATTACATTTAAATTTCACTAACCTGGAAAGCGTATGGAAACCCATACAAGCTATACGTCTCAACATGGCTCGAGTCCATAGCGACCTTCTGTTTGTACGCCTCGACCTTGTCCTTCAGAGC